TTTTTTTTTTCATTTCTATCACCTCCAACACTTTTACTCTTGCATCTCTTTTTCTGGGTGAAAAACAACAGTGGGTAAACAAGCCGCTTGGTAGCTAAAACCACCTTATCTGACGGATGCAGTCCTGCTCCACTCCTCTGCACCGAGTCACCTGCTTTCCACACCCTGCAACCCATCTGGGCCACTGCTCTCTCTAAGAGGCAGTGAGCAGTACAGAAGAAACGTCACTCATCAGAGAAAGCAGTTTGGGGGCACCTACTTGAGCTATGGCCTTGTTGGAAATTGGCACTGGTGCAGTAGGCTTCGATCACTTTCAGAATCTGAGCGTCCTCTTCCAGGGCAGCTGTACCTGTCAAATTTAATCAATCATGACTTTTCTTAAGTACATGCCTGTAGACCTGCAAAAATGAGACAGTGCACTACGCTAGGCCAAGGACTGGCTTCTCCAACCAGTGGTGTTTCTGAAAGGCAGGAGGAGGAGCTGCCCACCCCTGCTGACAGCATCCCCACGGAGCTCTGGGGTCAGCTCAGCAAGTTCAGCACAGAGTGAGGTTTGCTCCTGAAGCCCAGAGCTCTAACTTGGGGGGTACTGTTGCAGCCTCTTTAAGGGCAAAATCACAGCACTGGGCTCAGTGCTGGCTTCAGTTCTCGTAACACATATGCCACAGCCTCCTTCTTCCCCTTTAAATTTCAAGGCTCACCTTCTCTAGGAAGCGTTGCCCTGGTAACCCCGCCCATTTTTTCCATCCACTCAGCAGAGTCACTGAAAAGCCTCCTCCTTTCTCCCCCTCCTAACTCTTGAAATGACTGGATGTCAGCACCCTGTTAACATACTGATGTGCACACCTAAGTGGGGGGTGAGGGATGGGCCATGCAGAAGCTGTACTCAAGCAAACATTTATGTAAACTATACTTTCTTTTTTAAAAATTTTCTGTAGAGATGGGGTCTCACTATGTTGCCCAGGCTGGTCTTGAAATCCTGGACTCAAGCAGTCCTCTCACTCGGTTGGCCTCCCAAAGTGCTTGGCCTTAAATTAACTATATATTTCAACTGATACATACAGTTCTGTCACCTCTTTGTGACATATCATTTACTCCTTCACATGCGTCCCAAAGAACCTTGTTCGCAGCCTTATAGCCAAATACAACCATGTCAATCGGCTAACCAAACTTGCGGTTTTCCTCCAAACCCAGCCATGTTTCTAGAGGTTGCCAGGCCAATTCCTTGACTAACTGAGAGCATCACTGAGCATCAGACTTCCAGAAGGATTTCAGCCTTCGTGTCTAGCTAGTTTGTCTCTGTATAAGAAAATATCTCAGGTATCAGAAAATAAGAAGAGAAAAAAATGTACCCATAGCAAATGGGTCCCTTTAGACATTTTAAACTAGACGGAGCAAAGTGCTTGAGACACAAACGGTACAGATGATGTCTGCCTACGATGGGATGAAATGCGGCGAGATGATTATTCAAAATCTTAGAGGTGACCAAACGTTTCCATGCATTTTTTAAATGTAACAGATGATGCTCAGAAAAAACTGCTCTGATCATCTGCTTTTAAAAATTCTCAGGTTAAAAAATAAATTCTCATGTTAGTTCACCCATAAACAAATACCATAAAGCAGAAAACACGTACTTTTCCTAATCACATATTCCTCCTCGGATGGTTTTCTCTCCGTCTTTCTTTTGTGAAGAAACTTCTTCATGGTTTTGGGGCTCTTACTGGACTCCTGTAAGGATAGAGATTTCTTAATGAATTAAAATTCTCCCCCCCCCCAAAATTAAAAGAACAAATGAAATTAAATAGAGTGCCTCTCTCTTATTTTGACAGTCTTGGTCAGGAGGACATCAAAATTAAATATGGTATACATCAAAAATGGCTCCTATGAACTCAAAAGAGCTAAATAAAACAGAGGCAATGACATTATCCTCTTGATTTCCATGGGAGTGAGAGTAGGATGCGGTACATTCTCCAGAAGGCCAAATGCCCATCTGCGGAGAAAGTCATAGATAACAGTGCCAGGAAAATAACACCATTTCTGATTTGGTTCCTGATCTCCATAGATACAGTTTTAGAGGAATTAAATAGCAATTGTAACTACTAATGGCATTTATCATTTCTCAAAGAGCTTCAAAACTATTTAAGGAACTTCCTTAGCAACAATCCCTCAGAGAGAAATATAATTTCCATTTCTCAGATGGTAAAATTAAGGCAAAGACTAGGTAATTTTTCTTCAGTCAGAGAAAAGAATCAAATGAAGGATTTTCTGATAAATAATTTTGGTTTAGGAGTAACATACCCACAGCCAAGCTTAACTATACACAATACAAAGCCATATTTTAATTTTATTTTATTTTTTTATTTTTTTGAGACAGAGTCTCACTATGTCACCCTCAGTAGAGTGCTGTGGCATCACAGCTCATAGCAACCTCAAACTCTTGGACTTAAGTGATTTTCTTGCCTCAGCCTTCCAAGTAGCTGGGACTACAAGCACCTGCCACAACGCCCAGCTATATTTTTGTGGTTGTTGTTGGCATTGTTATTTAGCAGGCCCAGGCCAGGCTCAGACCCACAAGCCCCGGTGTATGTGGCCAGTGTCCTAACCACTGAGTTATGGGCACCAAGCCAAAGCCATATTTTTAATTAGTATATAAAACAGATGGAAATTATTGAATTTACTTTGCATTATGAATAACTAGTAGGGTGAAAAGTGCTCATTGTCAATATCTAAGTAAATAGATTAGCATCTTAGACTTAGGAAAAAACCCTCTTGATCATCTTATCCCACTCTTCCATTCAATGTATAGATATGAAGCATGAATAATAATTAGTACCCCCAAAATACATAAAACAAAGAACTGAATGTCTTCACATAGGCACAGTGATCCACTTAGATGCGAAAACAAGCAGATATACAAAACTCAGGGGACATCCATAACAGGAAGAAAAGTATTGAAAAAATAGGGAAATGAATATTTTAAGGCATTGTAGGATGATATTTTCATGTTTTTCACACGAGCCTGCTTTTGAAAGAAAATCCTTACCTGTCAGAATTGCATCTTCATATTTTAGCCACCAATTATAACAAAGGACAAAACAAACATAACAGAAAGCTTCATTCATCAAAGGTTACAGCACAGCATTATGATGTCACTGTAAGCCAAAGATATCGTTCTACCCTTACCTTTAAGATATAAGACATCCTCTAAAATGAATATGTAAAGAAAGAGAAGATGAGCGTGAGAGGTCGATGGTTATAATGACCAAATCCATTTATCAATAATTCTAAAACAACATTTGAAATGTTAGTGTTCTCATAAATTACACAGCAAGAATATCATCACATTTCCCACATTAGTTTCAGATGCAATATCATCATGCAAAAGCCCAAGGAATACAGTTCTGTGCAGAATAACAAATGCTGAAAATAACTGAAATATACACTATCCAGTAAGAACATATTAATAACTCTCTTCCCCCAGAAGAAACAAAGTGATCATGCCTTAGTTTTAATAAGATTAGTTATGGGAAGGATTAAGTCAACTTTACCCTTTAGAGCTCACCTTCATTTGCATTTAGTAACTGACAATTACAAAATATCCATCATGAAAAAGGGGACCTAGGTAACTATGAAGTAGCACTCCTGGTTTAGGTAATCAAAGAAGAAAAGTGGATGCGGATCGATTTCTAAAGCAAATCTGTGGGACCGTTTTCTGACCAGATTCTGCATGGAGTTACATAATAAAAATTCAGCTCAGAAGTTATTTCTCCTATCATGTTAGGTTGCAAGGATCAAAAAATCCTCCAGTGTCCAAATATTGTTCTATTTTTACTGCACTAAGAGTTGGCGGCAACAATTAATCAAAACAGAAGCATGGTGCTTTAAATCAAAACACACTCAAGATTGAGCTAAGTCTGCACCACTCATGAGAACACACATTTGATCTAGAAGTATGTGCTGCCTCTGCACCATAATTCTAAGATTCATCTCAGAACTGTCACAAACTTCATCTTCACTCAGCAAGGCCTATTTAAAGAACAGTTACAGATAAATGAGCATCTTTTGCGAAATCTGAAATGATGGAAACAGGTTAGGGATAAATGCACTGTTTGGATGGAGAAATAACACTCCACACAGTTATCGCAGCTAGTGACTGACATTTCCTAACTTCAACGGCGAGAAGAAAAAAAAAAAAAACAACAAAAAAACCTTGAAATCCCCACACTACCCAAATAGCAAATGGCCTTTAAGGTTGTCTCTAAGAAGCTGCTTTTTTAAAAAGACAGTCCTTTCATTAAATTCTTTTCCATTCCCCACTTCAGCAAATACCACTTTGTAGTTCAAACTCCTAGCAGGGCCCCATAACACTTTACTGATATGGTTTAAAAGATCAAAATGATCCAAATTGCTCGGTTGGAAATTCAACTATAGTAAACTGGCCCATAATCATCATAAAGGTGACCTTCTTCGCTTCAAGAAGAGACTGGGGAACCTCAGGCAGTGCACATAGACCCTGTCTATATTCAATAAATATTTATGATGGATAAGAGGGCAATGGAAAGTTGAGAAACAAAAAAATCACTGAGTCTAGCAATTCAAGATTGACATACATCACCTATCATAAATTCTAGCACATTCCCCCAAAACTACTTGTAATAAGCTATACAATTAAGTTGTCAGAAGGATTTTATACCATATGTAGCAAAATTACCTCTTTATAACCTAGCGCTGCTGATGGTCTAAGTGGAGGTGCAGGTCGCAGACAACTTAAACTCCACGGTTTTACAATTTGAGGAGGCTCCAGGGGTCCTCGGGGCTGTCCAGTAGAGCTAAAAGACTGGGAAAACGTCTGATGAGATGTTTGCAATCTGCCACCTGAACCCGACCTTTGCACCACACAGTGAGAGAACAATAGCTTCATTGGATCAGCAAAGTCAGCCATAAAAAGGGAAAGATGGAACAACAAAAGTCTCCAGTTTCGGCTCAGCACCTGTAGCTCAAGCGGCTAGGGCGCCAGCCACATACACCAGAGCTGGCAGGTTCGAATCCAGCCCGGGCCTGCCAAATAACAATGACAACGACAACCAAAAAATAGCTGGGCATTGTGGCAGGCACCTGTAGTCCCAGCTACTCGGGAAGCTGAGACAAGAGAATTGCTTAAGCCCAGGAGTTGGAGGTTGCTGTGAGCCGTGACGCCATGGCATTCTACCCAGGGCAACAGCTTGAGGATCTGTCTCAAAAAAAAAAAAAAAAAAAAAAAAAAAGTCTCCAGTTTGAGAATTGGTGCTTTGCCGTCAAGATTATGGGGCCTCTAAGAATCAGCGCAAAATTGACTCAACAGCCCATCACCGGGTCCTCTCTTTCTCTTCTGGAATTTCATTAAAGTCTTATTGGTTTTCCTCTGTAAGGGAGGAAAGTGGAGTAACAGTCACCATTTGAGTGTGGTGATGTGTGTGGCACTCCCTTAGGTGATTAAATAAGTTATTTCATCAGAACAACCTAAGCCTGAGACTCGGCCAACTGAAGAAACTAACGAGTAACTGGCAAAGCCAAGATTTACACTGGGATCTGTGGCCAAGGCCCATGTTCTTCCCACCACAACACACAGTGCTCAAAAGTTTGAGTGTTCACAAGTGACACAGACTATGTTCTATCTCACTCAGCAAGTACAGTAAAATCTCATCAATTCAAATTCCATGAATTCTAAATTTGTGATAACTCAGAAGAAGACGATGCAAAAGGTTTTGCCTTTGAGGAAACTGATTGAGCAAATGTGAGAGCATGAATGAGATGGTATAGCGACATTCAGGTACTTAATGAGGCGAACTAACACGTTGTTAATATGAGAGTAATGGTTGCTCATTAAAATAAGTCTTGTTTATCATGAAAACATCTTAGCAGGACTTCTGGTTAGAAATATTTGGCTGTTAGTTGGACGATCTGAGTACATCAAACAAAACCGCACACCTCTAAGTAAAATGTTTTATTCCTCTGGATGGACCTCACAAAGAGAAATGAGAATTAGTGAGGTTTAACTGTACTTTAAAATGTACAAATGTAGACTATCCCAAAACTAAGCGTGCTCATTGCATCCTATAAATCTTCAGCAGGCAAGATTTGATAAGACTCAGTGACCCCTGGACAGAACAAATGGATTACTTACAGAATGAGCACTACATGACGACGAGGAGGTTTTGGATAACGAGCTGCTAGAAGCAGGCCCTCTGATCAGTCTGTTCAGCTGCTCCAGCCACTCCTGGAAGTCGTGGTTGTTGTTGCAGTGGACCACGATTCGCTCGATTGTGTTACCTACATCACCCGAGCATGAGCATTTGAAGACAAAAGGCAAAGAGCACCTTGAGCTTGTTTCATTCATAAGTAGACTTCACACAACTAGAACTTGGGGGTCTATTTTCAGGGGGTTTCATACCTATGGGATAGCCCTGTTGGAATTTCTGTATCAGGAACAGATAAGCTGTGATAGTACACAAATATTCATGCATCGTTTAGAAAACTGTCCTTGATTTCAGCTGTTTACAGAATCTCTGAAGAAGTGGAAAGCTTCAGTATACACAACTTGTAAACTGAAAATTTAATAACATAGTCCATCGAGTAGCTCATAGTCTAAAATGAGAATATTATACCGGTTCCCCTCATATCAAAGTTGGAACAAAATCCAACTAAGCCTGGCTGCACACTTGCAGAAAACACTAAACTTTAGGCTTTTTATCAGGGAAGATGAAGGTAAGGCCTGGTGTCATATCAGCTCAAACAGTTCAGCCATTACACATTACATCACACAGGCCTGGCAAAAGGGCTAACAGGCCAAAATGTCCTGTTATCGAAGCCTGGAATTTTGCTCCATTTATAAAGAAAGTTTCACAGCTTTTCAACACTTTTTAGAAACACAATCAAATCTTACTAATCCATAGGTTGACGATAAGATTGTGGATAGAAGTCCACATCTTTGGCTCCTCTGCCACCAGGGAACAGAGGGTTCGGAGAAAATCACATTTACATCAGTCCATTTCGCTGTTTCTCAGCTCTCGCAAGTAGCTCTTATATAACAGAAGACTCAAAGTAATGGCAAAGCTGAGGTTTTTGAACAACAGGACATTTCTCTGTTCTATCACTATACCGTATTTATCCTAGGAAATGGGATCTACTTTGCCATATCCATGTAAAATTTGTTCATGAACTGTATAACAGAAAATAATATGATTTATTTATTTAAACTCCATTTCATTCCAGAAAGGATTTGAAATAGCTACACGAAAAAGTGAAAATGACCTACCTGTGATTTCAAATGTATAGTCATTCCCTTCAATGTCATCTAATCTAGTCACCACCATTCCTGCTATTGGTATTTTTCCCTATTAGAAAAAGGACATTCCCATTAATTCTGTGGTCATGTGTCTCTACTTATCCTCCTTAGACTTCTTACCCTCTCAGCAATCACTGCTGAATTATGGCTAGACATATTTCTCCATTCTGTCAATAAATAGATAATGTGTCCTTACTCTAAATTTTAATCAGACAAGAAAGCAAGGGGAACACATGGGTTGTATTTGGCTAAAATACTCCAAACCACGAGATCACGATGTACAAAACAGTGACACTTTTCTAACATACTTACATGAGAATCAGTAGAGAATGTAAAGGCTGGAGTTTTGTAAAAATTAGTAATTGGCAGGTGAAGATATAACAGGCAATAGTAACTTATCACATTCTATATCTTGGGAGCGAACTGAGGGAAGGTGAATTTCCTAGAACTTTAATAACTTACATGATAGAAATCTGGACCATGTGATGTGACTGCAATAAGACAATCATAGGAGGAGATTCCAGTTTATAGTTTCCCAGTAATAATGACATGGACCTGTAAAATGCTGCTGCTAATTGATCTGGTTGTAGACTTAGACTTCGACTTACACGTTTCAAAACCTAGCTCATAACCAGAGCAGCAGATACTCAAGATAAGTTCATTATACTAATACAAAGGCCTTTGATCTAAGGAACATCTGCTCTTATAAGCTGTTTAATTACAATGAAGGGTTAGAACACTGCCTCTTCTGGCTTGAGCTTTTAATTCCATAGGGGAGATTTTGATCTGGATAAAAACCTGTTTTCATTATGGCCCTGTTATTAGTTTTATATGAAATTTGCTAACCTGGTAGATGAAACCACTCATCCGAGGACTTGCAGATAACATTATCAAGATATGTGAAAACAACATAAGGTAACGCTCCTCTTTCTCCTGCAAAGGAATGAACAATATTAAATGGAGAATAGAAATGGAGCCTTTTATTTGTTAAGAACTTCTGGAATCACTGTTTTATAACATAGGCCCTCATATCATCAACTGAAATATTAGCAATAATTTTCAGAAATTAATATCCAACTTAAAAACACAAAACCAGATCAATTTTACTCGGACATAAACATTCACGGTTTATTTCTCTCCTTCCTATGTATAACAATTAAATCCAAATAGCCATGCTTGTTTTGCAAGTATGTAAGGAGCCTGAGAAGTTGCACAGATGACACAGCCAGAGAGAGGTGCTAGACGTGGGCACAAAATACATTTCTAGGTTCAGAAAATGAAAATACATATTACTTCAAAAAAAATGGCGTAAAGAAGGCATTTTCAGGTGACAGGAAATTTATTATGTTCTAACAAGTATGTTAAAGTCTTATTCATAACATTATTTGAATCAAGAACAAGACACATAGAAATTATTACACCCATGTAAAATAGAAAAATAAATATATTTTTCAACGGTGCTAAAGAAACCTTTCCCTACGAAGGCTGCCCTGGGCCCTTTAAGACACATATTTAAAAATATACCTGGTGTACAGGTGCAGCCATCTTACAACAATTATTCTGATAATTGTCCCTGGTCTCCTTCCTCCCATTTGAGAAGAGCAACCCTTTGAGGCTAACCATGCTAACCAGTGCTCTGACTCTCACATCTTACTATTGCTTGGTTTCCCTCCATACACATGTCCTCTCCTTCCTCGAGCAGCCTCTCCTCTTTCACTAGCTTTTCTTCTTTTGCCTTTAACACACCTGCATCTCTTGTCTTAATAGTCCTTTTGGCTTGGC